GTGGTCTAGAGGCTCCAAACGGAGACGAGACTCCCCCCGTGGGAAGATATCTCTAGAGGGACTCGCCAATTCTCGGCTTGAATTCTCCTTAGGATCTCGGTGACGCTGTAAAGGTCATCTGCGACCAACACACTCAAAAAAAAGTGGTTGTACAGAGATGAACATTAAAATAAGTAAATAAGCGTGCATATTCTCTTTCTCTTTAGTTGTTTAAATCTATCCGTCATTTAAAATCGTCGCACTAAAATCTGACGCTCAAATCGTGACGCGGCCTTGACAAGTTACCCTCATCGCGCGCAATGAGGGTTTCTTTTCAATAATTCATTTTTTTTCACTTCAATAATTGACATTAATTTAATTGGAACTGACATTAATTGTAACTGAAATTGATTCATTTGCGTATTTGTAACAATCTACTTTCAGCGTGTGCGTTATCTCTGTTACACGTTGTATATCTTTTTATGTCATAAGACTGGCTAGCAAGGATATGACTCGCATGATAAGCGGTCAGCATAGCCTATAAACGCTAACAATATGCACTTGTCCCACCGTCGACCATAAACGATAAGCGAGTAGAGCTAGAAACTAGAAACGAGTTAACGAGAAGCGAGAATTGAGTGTGTACTTCCGATAGTTTTATCGCTGGACTATAAGCGATTGTGCTAAAATGATGGAACAACGGAATTGACTTTCATATTGCCAAATTAGAAGCATTTACGACGTATCTATAAATTTAAAACATCATAGGGTACAAATAAATTCTTACATCTATTGTAGGTTCATTTATATTGCTGTTGGTATTTCTACAAAATATTGTTAAGCTTACAAATTTCGTACAAATTATATCACTGGTAAGTCATAAGAAAATATAGTATTAAGCTTGGCGGTCTCGAATACGGCTCTATTTAACTGAAATTTTATATAGAAGGGATTTTCGAGGATGATAAATAAGATTTATATGTTTATCTCGGGGAAATTGTGTTCGGTTCTGAGCAAAGCTTGATATATCTTCAGATATAGGGGTTAGCGCTGATAAGATTTTCGCTAAAAAGGTATTTATTTTATTTATAATAATGGTTCATTCGTATACTTTGATGAAATATCGGAATTATTAAATCAAATTGAAGCAGCACTGAGTAGAACAGAAATTATTCGTAACGTCCCATTTGGTTCCTAAAAGAATTAATGTTGAAAAGTAACATTGTGAATCGCATATCTATTTTTAACTTGAGCTTTTTATTTGGAAAAATCTGCCCTATTAAGCGCAAAAGCGGTATCTCAAAAAAAAAACGAAATTTTTATTTTTATGGCATCGGATAGCTTAGAAAAAAACACATTTATTGAACTAAGCCCTCTGGCGATATGTTATTTAAAATGTATTAAAAAAATGTTAAGAAAGTTTTCTCTATCTCATTTTTAACTTAGGATATTAGAGGTATGTAGGCAACCAGCCGTATAATTGAATACCGCCAAATCTCTTAAAAAACAGAAGCATTTTAAGTACGTCGTGTTCTAAGCCAATAAGCGACATTATGTAACTTACCGCTACAACGCTTAGCCCGAATTACAGAATAACAACTAAGTGTTGATCTTTACTTGAGTACAGTTAGAAAGGGATATCGCTATGTGCTATACAAAGCGACATCCCTTTCTAACTATGCTTAAAACTAGATCAATCACTGAGAATCTTTCTTTAATACGGGCCTTAGTATCTTTGTGCATACTTGATCCGCAAATCATGAGATACGGCTGCAGTTGCAAGTCGAATTGATCCTTAAGGTACAATCTTGCAATGATTTATCCCTGCCGTAGCTAAATTCGTGTCATTACTTATTTCTTACTATTGTAAACAAGCTATAATCTTATGATTACTGTGTTAAATTAGTGAAAAGACTGTTAATTAATGTGTCCAGTAGATTAATTGTGTGTTTCGACAATCAGGTAGGTAAGTACTCTAGTCGATATTTATTTGCTACTCCACAAAGTACCTACCACATTTCTATATTTTGCGGCCTGTCTATATTTTTGACTGATTATAATTCATAGAACACGTTTCTTTTTTAAAAATGTTTTTTTATGATAGTAAATTTAAATAATAAGAGATTATTTAAATAATTATAAAACAAAAGTTATATTATATATAAATTGCATTTAATAACCAAAGATGACAATCTTTAAACTAACTAATTTTAGATAACGTCGATTATCACGAATCTAGCTTTCACTGAGATACCGCTTTTGTGCTTAGTAGGGCAGAATAGGGCTGGCACTATTCTTGCGTTCTTGAAATCAAACATATCATTTCAATGAATAAAATTTTTTTTGTTAATTTTATAGGACCTATTACGAAACACCCCTTTTCAAATATTGAAAGAATAAAAAACCGCCATATTTTACGGCATAAGTAAGTATAAGACTACGTACGTACAATACTAGGTCAAATATTTCAACTGAAAGATTCTTAATTATCGTTGTATGCTTACCATAATGTCCATAGCATAGTGAAGATTTAACTCAAAAGTAAAAGATCATAAATCAAAATTCTGTCATACCCGATGATTACACTATTACATTAAAACAAAATTAACGGTTAATCTATATCAAATGCCACTTTAAGTTAACTCATAATATTCAATACGATATTGGTATTAAGGTGATTCCACGTTGCTGCTTTCCGCGTTCCTCAAATGCGAAACTGTCAAAACTTTAGTGAAATATTGGAGAAAGTTTAGTTCAAAGCAGAATAGTTCAGCAGATTCAGAGGAGGTTGTGATTACTTGGTACACTCAGTAGCGCAATAAGAGGGGAGCTCAAAGGCGCATGTGGTTAGCGCATTCGGCCTGCGATCGTGGAAGTTAAGCATCTTTTGCAATGGTCGGTCATTGGATGGGTGACCAAAATTTACTATCTTGAGCTCCTCCATGCTTTGGAAGGCACGTTAAGCTGTTGGTCCTGGCTGCATCTGCAGTCGTTAGCACCCACCAATCCGATCTGGGCCTGCGTGGTAGGTCATGGCCCAATCTCCCTATTCCATCCATAGGGAAGGCCTGTACCCCAGCAGTGAGGACATTAATAGGCTGATGATGATGATGATTTCGCAAACGGATCCCTAAATCGAAAATAAGTCTTAGGAACCCTTGAGTAATTTTAAAGGACCTATTCAACGATATCCCACACGATGGGGTAGATGATGAAAAAATAAAATCATCCCCAGGTTACATGTAGGGGAACTACCCTAATATAGTGCTTTCCTTTTAATAATAATAGTGCTTTTCATGAACTTTGAGGTAAAACTATAACGGTTAAGATAAATTTGTTAGTTACGACTATTACCACTAATAATAGTCGTTCAACATTGGTTAAAGAAAATTTCATACCTATTAAAAAATCCTTAGAATAAAACATTAGTAGTGACATAAATGAAGTTATTGTAACAAATCAAAATCATATTTCATGTTCCACAATCAAATCAAACCCATCGGCACCAGGGTCATAAAAGTCTGACTATAAAAATTGTAATGAGGGAAAATTGTAATTTTGAAAAATGTTTAGCATATAACAAAATTCCGCACTCATTATCAAGTAAAATTATTACAGTGTATTTGTAAATAATAACAACACTGGATTTAATGCATAATAGTACTGATTTAAATGCAAAATTCAATCTTTAATTTTGGCACTATTGGTTACTTATTATCCTACTGTCCTATACGGAGTGGTCCAACTAGTGACGTCAACAATTTTTTTTAGATTCCTCGCACCTATGCGTTTCCGAAAATATGTATGTTCTGCGATTTTTCTTAGTTTTCCAGTTATATTTTTTTTATGTATATTTAATGATTGCTGCCAGCGAGGTTTCAAAAATTCATATCTTTTTTCGTAGTAAGTATTTTGCAGTCTTTTTTGTGACATAATTGTCTTGAATGTTGTTTTAATAAAAAAAAATAACTCAGCTTCCTGAAATTACTTAAAGTTACTCAAAAAAGGCTTGAAAGTTGGAACTTTAGTTTTTAGTAGGATTTACTTAAACATTCAAATTCAACTCAAATAACTAAAATGCTAGGTGCGAAGAATCTAAAAAAATTGTTGACATCACTAATTGGACCAGCCTATATATAGGACGTTTATTTTCCTGAAAGTCGCGTAATCAATATTATTTTCATATTCTTAACATGTTTTTTAATACATGTTCAACTAAAAAGTTAAGCTAATACAAAGATATTGAGAAAAAAAAGTTTCAGGCTTATTTGGGTTAATAGGCTGATGGTGATGATGACTCAACAGCGCATCGAGCTTTCCGAGATTGCCATTTGTCTACTTGCGTGTATAGTTTAGTATCGTGGAAGTTAAGCAACATCCGAAATTGCCTATCAAAGGATGTGTGACCTTAAATTCACTATACATCTCTAGCTCCTACGTGTTTCTAAAAGCAAATAATCAATCGTTCAACAATCATCGTATTTCGATATAATTTACGGGCCCGATAATCCGATGAACCTTACTGATGTATCTGCAGTCGTTAGCAACCACTCACCTACACTTGGCCCACGTGGTGGTTTATTACCCACACATTTGCTCAACATGAGCTTCACTCGCCAACCTCATTTCCGATACCTCAAATTCGAATTCAAGTCCTTTCGAATTCATCAAATATTTATTACTGGACTGCTTCACCAGTTATTGCGAAGTTTTGCTGTGAAAAGATGTTAAGATTAAGTAATGTCTATAATTGAGGGCAGGTATTAAACTTAACATTTTATTTTACATAATCGCCCTACGTTCTTCCCTTTACTCAGGTACTTCATCTTCCGTATAAAGACATTCCGCATATTTATGTAATGGCGACATTAATAAGTACATACTGATCTTATGGCCACTTATGAAGTTACTACTTCCAAGATCGTTTGGTCCAACCCCTACGCTACCGAGCTCCTTATTTCTACTCTCTCCATCCAAAATTCTTCAACACCTTGTCGTAATACGCTCGTCTATTGTTCTAGATGCAAAATGCTCGCGAACAACATTTCGGACAACTCGACAGACAGCGAGTACACACCGTACGGTGAGCGACTGGAGACGTACCTGGTTCCGGTAATGTTCGCGATCATATTCATCGTGGGCGTGCTCGGGAACGGTACGCTCGTCATCGTGTACATAAGACATAGGAGCATGAGGAATGCGCCTAATACGTAAGTTTCTAGAGTCCAGTGATCCTATAAATTGTACTGACTACGCTGGTCTGAGATACAGGAAGAGGTTCTGTCATTCTAGGTGCCAGCTAGCAAGGTCTCTTCCTGTATTCAAAATCCAGCACTGAGTTTTGTCATTGTTAAGTTGTGTAGCTTTACAGCCTATGCTCAGCAGTGGGCGTCGTACTGCTGAGAGATGATTATGAGATTACGTTTATGATTATGCAATATATTATCATGTTATCTGAATATGTTAACGCAAATGTCTTCTTTAATTTCTTATTTATTCTAAGATTTCTTTATAAACACCTACTTTAGCTTTACCGAAAATTGCTAGCAGGACATGTCCACGTGTTATGCGTGACAGCAGCAGAGGAATGGATTTAATAATATCAGTACCCATTGTTATTATAAACTACTTAAGTTAAAATCACCAGTGAACACGCCTTTTCAACTCCCACCCACCCGTATCACTCCACGAATGTGCATCCACAAACGGAACAAACATCGTTCCAAACGCGTCGACCGAAAACTGTTTTAAGCTCTCAAAAAATAAAAGTGTGAGGTGCACGGTGATCGCATTCGTTTGCACAAAGACATTTGCTTTGAGTAAAACGAGAGCTGAATCGTTGTTAAATCGTGTGCCAGACCAAATGAATTTCAATCATATGTTTTTGATTCGTACGGTAAGCTGTTCTTTTGGCTCAAAATTTTAAATATTTGCTATTTTATAGATGTCACAATAAAATGAGAATTATATGGGATTATTAGGTTAAGACTATAAGATATGTGCAACATATTTTTTTTTCTTTTGCATTAAACTGAATTGGCATTTTTTTATTATTATTTGTAGCTTAACCTATATATGCCCACAACTACTATTTTATGTGGTTCCTTATTAGACCCCTGATTCGAAAACGGAACAAAAAAGGAGCTTTCGTTTAATGTAATTCATTAACTTCTAAAGATCGGAATAAGCTTCCTGTATGTATTAAAAAAACCGGCCAAGTGCGTGTCGTGCCATGCGCAGTGTAGGGTTCCGTAGTCGCTCGTCGTCACCACAATATATTTTGGAAAGAGTCTATACTTTAGAACTAACTTTACTTCGTCTAAGTCTCTTTTAATGTTTTCTTTAAGGAATTTTTATTAATTCAGAAATTTTCTTATACATAAGTTGAACGACTCTTAAACTAACAAAATTAATTTTAACCTTTATAATGTTCCTTAGAAATTCATGAAAAGCACTATTATCATGATTTTTTTAGGTTTTTCAAATCAATAGTTTAGCTTTTATCCATTTTATCGGGACGCCCTACAAGAACAAAAATTGGCACTTTAAAGTTAAATATTTCGCAAACGGATCCCTAAATTGAAAGTAGTCTTAGGAACCCCTAAGTAATTTTAAAGTACCTTTTCAACGGCAGCCCATGCGATGAGGTAGACGATGAAAAACTAAAATTATCTCCAGGTTACATGTAGAGGAGCTACCCTAAAAACAAAAATGTTAAAATTCAATTCCCATGAACATTGAACATGCACGTGTAGCTGACGCAGCTACTAGCATCGGCGACAGGGATGATGACAATTTTTTTTTCTTCGTTTATCAGGTAGATTATCAAAAAGTATTGGACACGTATTTTTTCTTTTTTCACATAATATAAACATTGCAGAAATCTATTGATTTGAAAAGTCGCATGACGTAACATTTTGGTACAATTTTCACTTAAAAGTGACGTCACGAGCCCCTACTCCCAAACTTTGACGCGCTATAACTTTGTCATTTTTTGGTTGATTGCCCAAAGAAAAAATACGTGTCCAATATTTTTTGATCATCTAACTTACAGACTGAATAGAATTTCGTTTACTGTACCCCGTCATCACCCCTACTCAGAAAACGGGGCATTCTGATACCCAACATCGGTCGGACTCCTTCTCTTAGTAAAAATTCATTTTAAGTAATATTGTAATGCAATAAACTTTTATTAAAATAAATGTTTTTTTTTTGGATTTTTCGGTTGCGACCACGCTTATTCGACATATTTAAGTTTACCACTAAACACATTTTCTAGAAAAGTATTATGGTGGGATATATTTTTTTTTTCTTTCTTTATGGGTTGTATTTTACGCAAAAGCAGTCATGATATTTTATGAAAGTGTTTTTACTGATTTGTCTATTTGTTTGTATTATACAGAGAACTAACTTATATTATAATAAAGTTCGTAAGTGTTTATTTTTGGGTTTGTATAAGTTTCAAGATCTATAGAATGGAAGATGCATATATAATATTTATGAAAATTTTATGATTAAAATGTTAAAAAAATATAAAAGAAATGCCACTGCAACGTTTTTATTTTACATTATGTTGTTTTTTAACAATTATTACGAATTAAAAATACTTGAAACGGAACGTATTTTAAAACACCATTCAGCGTTTAGTGACGTCACTCCTGTAATGACAACTTCTTTGAGGTTATGGTTGTTAAAGTAAATATTATTTTATGGGAATATTTATTGCGTTTTTTTACATTTAATAAAAATGTTGACATGGTTATAACTTTTTTTGTCCAAAGTGCAGAGTTTTTAAGTGTAGAAATGAAAGGGACTATATTACTACGGTATGTAAAAATCGTAGTTTATTCGTATTTTATTCAGCGGCTTCTACAAATCTTACGGCGATAATGCAATCGGCTATGTCCAAATTAAAAGAGATGGAAAATTATGTACAATAAAAGGTCGAGTTCTCCGGAGCATAAACTACGTAAAGAAGGTTATCGTGTTACAGTTATTTTAAATGAAACGTAAAGCTTGGTTCAGTCCTACCAATGTGAAGAATGTGCCACACATTTTAAACTTTATCTAATTTTCGACGTCATTCTCCAACTGTAAAATTAAAAATATGTTATAGACAGGTTTTGTAAGTATTAGGTAGGTCACTAATGCGTTTTTACGTATAAGCAGATTAATTAAGCATATAAAAAGTATATTCGCCAACTTACGTCAAAGTGATCTTCTCGAATAATGGTCTTTGGAGAATAATTGTCATTTCTCTTCGCAGCTTGAAACCACTTTTTTTTCAGTTTTGGGACAGAAGTTCCAGTCAAAAACAATTTATTTGGGAACTTTGTTGTAGTAGATTGGCACAAAACATGAGTCAACACGGCTTTTTTTCGGAATATTAGTGGTATTGTTATGATAACATGATGTTGATGGATAGTCCATTTTAAATTTTTCAAAAAAATATTTCGAAAGTCGAAAAAATATGCAAAAGTATGAAAATTGAAACCCAGCAACGAACAATTACGATCAGTGACAGACAGGAGTGACGTCATCGCAACCATAGGTTCGTTTTCGCGCGAAAATTTAAATTGTCAATTTAAAACCGCATTTTTTCCGATAAATCACAATGTTTTAATTTTTTAATATATCTGTGGTTTATTCTACATGGAATTCTTTAAAATGAAAACAAAAATAAAAATATTGCATCTTCCCTATTCGCCGAGTTTGAATTAAAATATGAAAGTTAAATAGACGTTGTTTTTTATTTGCAATTATTTATGTTTAGGTAAATATCATCCTAAATCATTCAGACTATTTACTACCTATTTTGTGGTATTTACACTTTTTTTTAAGGGTGTGATCTTATTTTATCCCTCTACAGCAAGACCTTTACCCAAGCAACGCAACTTCGTCCGCGTGGATTTACTATTACTGGTTACTACATATTTAAATAGCAAAAGGTGAAAATGCGAGTAAAAATTTTATTTTTCATCAGCACCAATCTATTGACAGTAAAAAATATTGGGTTCCTGAGGGTTCCAAAAAACTAACAATAACGCGGACGAAGTTGCGAGCAGGTGCTAGTAATATTATCATAAATGTGAAAGTTTGTCTATTGAGCAGACCGTGTCGCAGCAGTGGGGACTCAATAAGTTGATGATGATGGAAAATTAAATTTTAAGTGCATTTTCGCCTTTTGCTATTTGTATAGTAAGCAGATTGATGAAAATGCTGATTGGGCAAAAAAAAACTACCTAAACCACTAATTCCACGCGGACGAAGTCGCGGGCAAAAGCTAGTATTTAATAATATTTGACGACCTCCGTGGTATAAGTGTTATGTACGCTGGGTTTCAAAGTGTCACCTACTCAGAGTTTGTATTAAATATACGAGCATATATACTTAAATCCTAGCTGTTTATAATGTTTCTAGATAAATATTATAATATTGGTAATTCAAACCTTACAGTGCTTAATTTGGGGTTGTGCTAATTTGGTGTGTGTTATTTTTTTCCCAGGTACATATTTTCGTTGGCGCTGGCTGATCTGCTGGTGATCTTGATATGCGTGCCGTTCGTCTCCATCATTTACACGTTGGAGTCGTGGCCTTGGGGAGAACTGATCTGCAGGATATCCGAATCGGCTAAAGACGTCAGTATTGGGGTGTCTGTGTTCACACTGACGGCTTTGTCAGCAGAGAGGTACTGCGCTATCGTGAATCCGTTCAGAAAACTACAGGTGAGAGATTTTTGTACATGTTTGGCCAAGTGAAATTTGTATTAAACATCGACAATAATACTTGATCCTTTCCCACCCATAGGGAAGGTCTGTGCTCCAGCAGTGGTGACATTTAGGCTAATGATGATGATAACACTCAGTGTCATTATACATCATGGCCTATTAATCGCCACTGCTGAAACACAGGCCTTCTTCATAGATAGAATAGGGAGATTGGGCCGTTTATTTGATATAGACAGAAATTGTCTGAACTGACGGCCAACCATCACTAGATGGAGAGACACATTAAGTAGACGAATGCTTCACTTACTATTAGATATATTCACTACACAATTTGCCTGATATGGGATAATTCTCTAAAACTAAGTTCAGCAGTTGTAGTATTTCCCTATAGTGCTATATGAATAATGTAATGGAGATTAAGCTGTCAAATTTAGTTGAGTGTAGATAATCATGTCAGAATTAGGGTCATTATGATTATTGTCTAAATAGTGTGGTAGATAGTGTGAGAAATTAATCATTTCAGCCAGATTTATATGACGACCGTACCTAACCGACCACAGATAGAAGTTTTCACCAGTACGGCATTGACAAACCATAGAGATGTTTTAACTGAATCGTTTATAGTGGTTAGTCAAAGAAACTTTACCGATACAGGCTGTGATAATTTGAAAACAGAAAATTCAGGAAGTTCACAGGTAAAACTCACATAAATACTCGTCAGGTTTTGTTGTAGTAAAGAGAGTGGCAGGAGCGATAATATACAGTTAGTAAATAATTAGTTTTGAGCTTGTTTCGTCTCAGGCTATGTCGAACCATTAAGTTGTTTAGTTCAATCCTGTTACGTCTTGTTCCGTTTCGTACTTATTGAGCTGTCAAGTCTTTTTGCGGATGGGTTGGATATTTCACCTTGTCTACTGGCAAATTTAGTTTGACTCGTCCCTTCTCGAGCATGTCCACCAGTTAAGCATTCAATCGTCCGGACTTCAACTATCTCATTCAGTTGTTTTACCCGATTTTGATTTGGTGTCTCGTTGGTCTATCTAGTTTATTTAATTATAATGACCAGTAACAATTTCTCTCATCTATCCAACTCTTACTTGGAATAAACTTAGACTATCTTAAAATTCTATATTAGCTAATGTGGCTAAATAAAATAAAATAAATGTGGTAATCCAAAAAATATATGTGGTAAAACAAAATTTAGGTTTAAACGATCTCTGATGCAGGGCCGGACCTTGAGTTTAGGTAGCCCTGGCCTAATACTTCTTAGGGACCCACCTTATTACTCAAACTGTAGAAAAAATCAGACAGTAAAATATTTAATTGATATTATAACATATTATGCCTTAGTGTTATACAACCGTAAATAAATTGACAAATTATAACTTTTCTGCACCTTCCTTTTTTTTTGCTCCGTACATTCTAGGTTCTTAGTTAAATCAACATTTATGGACAAAACAGATAAATGGTTAAGTCGTGAGTTTGATATCGTCGTTCTGTATTTATTCTCTATATTTGCCATCCTGGAAAAGGAGCGCTCGGATTCACAGCTTGTGATTGCTTGTAAGGTTAAATATATTTTTAACATTGTATAACAGTTCAGGAATACGTCAACAAGCTTCTTTTTTTATAGATAGGCAGATAGGTCCGACAAATGACTCCGACCCACCTGATGTTAAGTGACGGTGAAGTCTAGACGTGAAGATTGCTGGTACAGCAGTTCTACCTGCCACACCAGCCATCCTCACCAAGCCGGCCTGCATGTTACTTCTTCATGCCTCTTTTAAAGGATCGCAGGTTGTAGGAAGGATAGTGCGACAAAGAAATGAGTGACCCAATTTCTGTGTACGCGTTGGAATTGTGGCCACAGCTAGACGATGACAACGAAGGCCAGCGCGCGTGGTCCTCTGAAGGAAAGGGGAAGGTGAAATAAGAGAGAAGAACTCCTCAGAACACTCGCCTTGGTACAGACGATAGAACGTGCTTAGGGATGCCACGTCACGGCGTTCCACGTCACCCATTTAGAAATGTGGTCCAAAGCCTGATTGTGTTCAATGACAAGATTCTCTCGTTTCTCCTTGGTTGCCGCCTGTCCAGCCGCTGCTTGTCCGAGATACTCTGCATGCACTGCGCTATTTTCTGCATAGCAATAAATATTCCCAAGAGGAATTAAGTCATTGATATGCAGCAGAAAGAGGGTGGGGAATAGAACGGAGCCCTGAGGAACGCCGGCATTCACTGGCATGAACCGCAAACTACTACCACCGGTAAGGACACGAATTCTACGCTCATGCAGGAAGTCAGCTCACCTAAGAACAGAACTGGGCCGGCAGATCGTATGTCGTTAGCTTGGAGAGAAGGCTTTTGTGCCAGACCCTGTCGAACGCCTTGGCAATGTCAAGGCTGATAGCCAACGACTCGCCCCGCTTGTAAATCATCAATTTTCTACTTTTTAATCTCGCCTCGCAAACTAAAACCGTTATTATAATTTATGTGAACATATATTATAATAACGGGATATTTACCTATCACGTGTTTTACTCGTTGTGAACTCCCGATATTTCAGCAATTTAAACGGTTGCACTTCGGAAACATGATGTTGGCCTATCAAATTCATTTTTCTGAACCTTTGGTAACAAGTGTTTTCTTTTCTATCTCTGTGATTTAAATCGTCTTGTTACGTACAAGTATAAAGAATTTTATTGTTTACATATATATATATACCTATATCTATAAATGTCTTAATAAGTATGAGGTTAATGATATACATATATAATGATCAAATAATCAGTGCCGTCAGGGTTAATTCGGAACTTTATTTAAAAAAATATATTAGGAACTACCACAAATGCTAGTGGTTAGTGCATCCGCCCGGACAGCGGAACACGCAGATTTGAGTCCTACCTGAAACCTTGACAGTGTCGATTTCTTTTTTCTAGAATCTTAATGTTAATTACGCGTCACGTTGTTTGACCGGGATGAATCATAAACTACTTAACCGATTTTAATTAAATTTGCATGCCGTGTGCAGTTTGCTCCAACTTGAAAGATATGATAACCTACATCTCAATTTATAGACGCAAAATTATTTTATTGCAAATTATTACTTTTGGGAGATACGAAGTCAGCGAAGTTCGCCGAGTCAGCTAGTACTCTATAGATTTATAAATCACGCAGATTGCGTACGGAACCAAACAACTTAGCCCCTTAGCTAAAGTTATAAAATCTACATCATCAAAATGTGCACTGCACACAGTACTATCAGTTGACGGATTCCAATTGTTTTCTCCTCTTCTTCAGTTTCGAAAACCCCCACCTACACTACGCAGTAATCATAAAAAGGAGGCAAAAGTAATTATATCAATAATATGGGTTCTGTTCTTTTCCGTTTGGAACACGGAACCTGAAAAGTTATGAAATCTTGTCTTACCGACTCACAAATGCATGAAATACAAATTTCCCAAATTATTGGAAATTATTCCCGTAAAAATATAAATGATTCTAGCAAGATAGGAAAAGACAGAGTCTGGGACGGAAACAGCGGAGCACGATTAAGATGAATGTGTAATAGCAGCCGAACATTTTAACTGTCAATTCGAAGTCCCAACACCTTAACGTAGATTCGAATTAAATGAATTGAATGGGTTTGATTAATCGCAGGATTCGCAGGGCTCCCTGAGGCTAACGCCGGCCGCGAAGGTGGGAGGGGTCACCTACGCCAAGGTGTTGGAGATGGCCAGGGGGAAGATGAGGCTCCAGGAAGTGGGCATAGAGGGAGGGCTCAAGATCCGGGTAAGCCGGATGGGGACCAAACTCCTTATGGTCCCAGGCCCGGACAGCGAGGTGATGGCAGAGTTCGTGGAGGTCGACAGGCCGGAGAGGGTGGCTGACCTGCGGATTGCCGGGCTCGACGAGTCCATCACGATGGAGGAGCTGGTGCAGGCGGTGGTGGAAATGGGGGGCTGCCAGGCCTGCAGGTTGGAGGTTGGGGAAATACACCCCGGACCGGGAGGCAACGGGTTCGCCAAAATAAGGTGCTCCATAGACGCCGCGAGAAAGATGGCGGAGGGCGACAGACTGAAGGTGGGGTGGAGCCTTGCACGCGTGACAGTCCTGGGCCCCCCACCTGCGCACTGCTTTAGGTGCATGGGCAGGGGCCATGTTGTCGACAGGTGACCGTCAAGGGAGGATCGCAGCTGCCTGTGCTTTAGGTGCGGGAAGACGGGACATAAGGCGGCGAGTCGCCCGTGTTTCCTCTCCTTCTCCTAGGAGAAGATGCTAGCAGACGTGGGCGACCGGGAGGGGGGAGAGGGACGGGTAGAACTACGCTTCCCCTCCCGTTCCCCCCTCCCAGGAACGGCGGTCCCCCCTCTTGTAGTTTTGCTACAAAAGGGCGGCGGAGGGTTCTTGGACGGGTACGCCCAAGAAGCCCTTCCGCAGCGGATGGGGGGCGGTATGGTGGGTACTAGGCCGCGTACCCAGCCCCCACGCGCGAGCTTACCTGCGCACGTCTGCGGGGTCCCTGCAATACCTCGGGAGACCCCTGCCGTGAAGCCCCGGCGAGACCGAGAAGCTGCTGGGTGCGGAGTCGTGGTGGAATCCCTAACGGGGACCCCGCGGCTTCGCATTAAGCAGTGTAGAAGGTATTCGCAGGACTTTTTTAGCGGATATTATGCTGCAAAGCGCCCGTAAGGGTTGCGGGGTCCACGGTGGTCAGCCACTGGGGGGTCCGTAAGACTTGCGGGAGCTAGGTGTGAGGTCCGTTCGGCGGTGTGCCTCTTAAAGGCGCCGTCGTCTGTAAAAAGATTTTTTACCTGCGTTATAAAAAAAAAAGGATTCGCAGGGCTGAAAACCATGTGATCTGTTTAATGTAATAATATTATGGATTATTTCGCATTATTGTCTATTTTTGACTTTGACTTGACTTAGCTGGGTACCCCTTGAACCTACGGGGCCCTGGGCTGAAGCTCAAAAAGACATATGGTAGATCCGGCCCTGCTCTGATCTGCAAATGGACTCATGACTCTTTCAGTACAGAGACCTACGCATCGTTAATCAGGGTTTCACAAATCTCTCAATTCATATGGAATAAAAGCGTTACATTAATTATTCTGAACTGTCGTGTTCATCTTTAGGAAGTCTCATTTCCAAACACATTAGACTCGTGAGATTTGAAATTGGGAGGCGTGAATACCAAAGTCACATACATGTAGTCAAGTATTTATAATCTTCTTCGTTTTAAAATGTCTTTTTCCCAAAATGGAGATTTGCTTTTCATCTTTGCTGTGGGAATTGGGAAAATATGTTGTACTCATCATGAATCCGTCGCGTCAAGATTTTAAAACCTGATATCCAGCAGCGTACTGTGACTGTCGTTTACCTCGTCTTTAATGCTAAGATAAAAGAAGTATCATTTCTAAGTTATAAGAAAATTTTACTCGAGAAAAATCCGCACGGTCCATCAAGAGGATTTAAACCAGCACCATGCTCTTATGCTACCAAGGCCTTAATGGCCGCATCAAATTTCTTCTAGTATTTCTTAAGCTGTAATACAGTGCCATCTTATCGCATTGTAGATATTCACAATAATAATAATAATCTTTATTTTTGAACTCTAACTAAATACATAATTACTCTATCTATAAATACTAGAACAATAAAACTCATGACGTATATGATATAACAATTTAGCGTTAACAACCGTAGTAGTCTAAGACTGTGTGACAGTTATTAGCGCCCACCTCAAAAGACAGGCACATTACAGACATGATTAGAAACAAACAAGGTTTTTACGTACAATGTACGTAACACTTTTACAAGTATTATATTTTTTTTAAGAAGCAATTGTATTTTTATTGTATTTTTAATTTAAAGCATTTATCTCCAATATGCGCCTGAACTACGGAAGGTTCCGAATCCCGTTTGATACCTGGTCTGCATGCGAAAATCGCTTTTATTATTAAGCATAGTTTTTTGATTCGAGTAAATGAAGGCACTGTCGAAAATCGATACCCACTAATAGATTCCAAATGAGAATAATTACACTCAAATAAATGTTGGTATCAATTGTGACTAGGTGTTGGTACCTACCGTGCTGCTAACATTAATGATGCTAAATGCAGTTTTATTTAAATTTCAGTAGCTACTGTAACGCCCGTAGCGTTACGGCCTCCTCGCTTGTATAAACTCTTTGTTTATGGAATGCCTGCGGCTGGCAGATGTATTCAAAAGTAAATGTCACTATTTTAAAGATTTGAATATGAGAACCCTCTGTCTCATACCGAACATTCTGAGAGATAGAATTCAGGCACAGACTCAATCGGTTGATATAAAGATTATGTTATTTTCTCTGAGCTTAAATAAAAGAAGTAAAACGTTTCAAGATTATCATTTTTAGCTGTAAAAAGCTGCGTGCGTCCTCTTCTCTTCGGCAAAGCGGCTTCCCTACAGTATCTACGTATTTATGTACATCCTTATTTTATTATTTGTATTTGTATTATTTGAGGGTAATACACTAAATTAACACGGGACACATATTATGAACATGAAATATGAATTTGTGTTGCATTGGAATATCTGAAAACAGTAGCGTACCTACTACAGTGACTCCACAATTAAATTAGGTCGTTTGTTTTATCCTTTGTTTATCTTTGTTGCAGTTACGGAAACTACCACTGGTGTGCGCGACATTCATATGGGCAGCCGCACTTATCTTCGCTGCTCCAGCCGCCCTCTTCTCAAGCACAGTGGCCATTGAAATACACGACAACATAACTATAGTTTATTGCACACCGTACCCGCCTGACTGGGACAACTATCCCAAGTAAGAATCTCGACTTAGTCTACATACAAATAGAGTACATTATGCAATTTGAACTGTACGTAAACTTGGACAGAGCGCCTACTAAAATAATAGGAGTGGTCTCATACTGCTGTAACTTGTTGCTAATTTATTTACGCTGTCACTGGAGAATGAGCAGTTTTACATGAATTTCGTCGGACGCATACCTAATATTCTAAATTATCTTATAATGTTAAGTGCTGGCACTAAAAGTCTCATAAAATTATCATAAACAGGACAGATAAACGTTTTTATGAGTGTCGCTGGACGGCACATTTACATTATCGCGGCATGGTTCTTAGGCTTATTAAATTTTGTTATAGCAACGATGCTTTTAAAAAATGCTCAGTAATAGGGTCCCGTTTTTACCCTTTGAGTCGGGACCCTAAAAAGGTAATTTTACTAAGGGTTGCTACCTGTCTCCCTTTAGCTAGGTATGTTCGATTTTTTTCTCCTCATGTCCGGTCAAATATTTATGTTTAGACGCAAATTGGCGTCCTTTTACTAACAGGAAGGTCAGCTTAACTCTACATACCGGTATCGGTTGCACTCAATGTCCACAATAGACTCGCCATTAAAAACCTGTAAGGATTTTTTGCTACTCCTTCACGAAAGTAGGCTTTGAAAGCCGTAGAACTTTATTTTCCACGTAATAAGACTCTATTTTCCTTGTGTTTTAATTGAGAATAGCTTAAAAACAAGTACGTCGTTGATTTTATATTTTTAATGTAAAGTAATTATTGGATTTTACGTATAAAATAGTAATTGGGTTTGGTAACGACGTTGTTATGGATCTAGATCAGGTTATACGAATCATAAAAAACTAACTCGGTTACTTCGTAATGGCGTAGTTATTCGAAGATATATTATAAGACTAGCTTTTAGAGCAATGCCGCCGCTTGCATGAAATTCATTTCTTGACTTCAAGAATATCAACAAAATATATACTAAATTAAGGGTAACATAATCTATTGAAATGCCCATATAACTAACCCAAAAATATATCATCAATCTATTTTTCTAATAATCCTAATAGTTTGTAAATAAAATAAAAGTTATTTTCAACTAAAATTATGTGAACCAAATTGTGCTAGTTAATTGTTATTACACAACTTTGATAGTTTTGGCAAAACATAAAAGAATCAATATACCTAGCCTATATCTGTTCTGAAAATGAATTCCGAATTGGTATTGGAGAAAGTATATTAGGAATCTGCTAGTACATCTAAATCTAAAGGCTTGAACTTTACCTCTTCGTAAAATATATATATATATATATATATATATATATATACTTATATAATATAATTCTAGTTGTCGCCTATTGGTCGATATTAGACCTTTATAGTTATGTCAAGTTCTAAAATATTAATTCTACAATCCTTTTCTTACGTCGAATAGTAAACTTTATTAAATTCATCAGGTTCTTTTCTATCAAAGAGTCATTGTGATTATGAAAAACAGTGGTATAATGTGAAATATTTATTGTATGAATGTTTTGTATTACTTTTTTATATTAAAATCTGACACTCGATACGGAATGCTTTTCGCACACCTACACAAAGGAGCTTGGTACTACATGCACTAAAATTAGCGTTCGAAATTTGAATTTAGCTCTATTCATGGACGTATAAAAAAAAAGTTTTTTTATACGTAACGTTCTATCGTAATTTATTATCATTATATAAATAACATTTATCTATACTATTAAACAGTTAAAGAGTATATTTGATTGGTTGGTTGGTTGGTTGGTTGGTTGGTTGGTTGAACGCGCTTATATCAGGAAGTACTACTGGTCCCATTTTAACAATTATTTTGTGATACATAATCTCATTAAATCTGTGCTCATTTAAAACCGGTTCAGCCGTTCTCGAGTTATAAATGTTCTTTAACAAATACGACTAAACCATTTTAATTTTAATGTTTATTAAACACTTTTTAATATTTAAAAAGGTGAACCAAAAATCAGGCGAATGTTTGGCAAGCCCTTTTTTTTTTTTTTTTAATACGCAGGTAAAAAATCTATTTACAGACGACGGCGCCTTTAAGAGGCACACCGCCGAACGGACCTCACACCTGGCTCCCGCAAGTCTTACAAACCCCACAGTGGCTGCCCACCGAGGACCCCGCAACTCTTACGGGCGCTTTACGGTATAATATCCGCTAAAAAAGTCCTGCGAATACCCTCTAAGCTGCTTAGTGCGAAACCGCGGGATCCCCGTTTAGGGATTCTTCCGCGTCTCCGCACCCAGCAGCCTCCCGGCCTAGCCGGGGCTCCACGGCAGGGGTCTCCCGAGGTATTGCGGGGACCCCGCAGACGTGCGCAGGATGGCCCGCGCGTGGGGGCAAAATACACGGCCTAGTGCCCACCGTACCGCCCCCCGTCCGCTGCGGAGGACTACTTGGGCATGCCCGTGTAGCTCCCTCCGCCGCCCCCCTCTTTGCAGGACAGAACTACAAGATGGGGGCTGCCGTCAGGGGATCCCTCGGTGGCCGGCACGGCACAATGCGCCGTACCGGCCAGCTAGGGATCCCCGCGGGCAGGGTCATGGGACGGGCGTAGCCAGAGCACGCACTCGTCCTCTTCTGCCCGCTCTTCTTCGGCGGGAGGGAGCGGCCAGGGGATCATCCTCCCGCTCCCTCTCGGCTGCCTCCTTCTGCGAGATAACGTTCTCGCAGAAGGAGGCAGCCGCCTCCCATGCCGACTCGCTACGGAGCATGGCCTCTACCATGCTCCGCAGCGAGAGGGTTCCGCCTCCCAGCGCCGCAATCAGGTCGCGGCGCTGCTGCCGCCAGGCCGAGCACTCCAGCAAGGTGTGCTCGGCCGTATCGTCCGGGGCGCCGCAGTGATGACACTGCGGCGTTTCCTCCCGACGTGCGACACGGTACAGGTAGTGACCGAAGCATCCGTGCCCGGTCAGTACCTGCACCATGCGGAACGAGAGGCCGCCGCGCCGGCGACCCACCCACTCCTCCAACACCGGACGAATAGCCTCAATCGTCCGGTGGCCGGCGCTTACATGGGCGAGTGCCTCATCCCATCGCCGCAAGGCCTCTGCCTGCGCGATGGAACGGACCTGCCGCAGCTCTGCTGGGGCAGGTCTTTCACCCCGCTCCCTGGCTTCGACCCGACCTCGATGCACGTCTGCCAGAACCTGGGCATCGAGATCCCACGGCGTCATACCCGCGAGTACGCAGGCGGCGCCGTGGCTGACCGTGCGGTAAGCTCGCACGACCCGGGTCGCGATGGTCCTCTGCGGTCGTCGCAGCAGGGCCATCGTGCGGGGTTTGAGGCACTCTGCCCAAACCGGGGCTCCATAAAGTGCCATCGATCGTATCACCCCGTGATACAGTCGACGGCACGCATCTCCTGGTCCCCCCACGTTTGGGAGGACCCTGCCGAGTGCGGCTGCGGCGGCGCACAGCCGTGGAGCGAGGAGCTTGAAGTGCTCCTCGAAACTCCATCGGGGATCCAACACCAGGCCGAGGTACTTCAGGCTTCCCTCGACCGGTATACGGACCCCCTCCACCCGGATATGGAGCCCCGGTTGGGTGCTGCGGCGTAGGCTGTGGAACAGCATGGCCCTCGTTTTATCGAGGGCCACATCCAGGCCCAGGAGGCGGATGCGTCGGACGGTTAGCGCAGTGCCTACCGACGCCAAACGAACCGCCTCCTCTGCCGACTTTGCCTTCGCCGCGACCAATGTGTCGTCGGCGAAGCAGACAACCTCCATATTGAGGAGGAGGCTGCCTCGCAGCACCCAGTTGTACCCCAGGTTCCAGAGCAGTGGACCCAGCACTGACCCCTGGGGTACCCCTGCGGCCATGGCCCGAGAGCACATGCGTCCATCGGGCCCCTCGTAGAGGACTGACCTCCCCTGCAGGTAGTCCTCCACAATCGCTCGCAGGTATGGAGGCACGCAGTGAAAACGCAGTGCCTCCATAATACACTCGTGGGGGAGACTGTTAAAGGCATTGCGGATGTCCAGCGAGACCGCAACAGCAGTCTCTCCCCGCCGAGTGGCCGCCTCGGTCCACCCCTTCAAAAGGGCCACCGCCTCCACAGTGGACCGGTTTCGCCGGAACCCGAACTGGTGCTCTGCCAGATTCGGGCCCGGCCCCTCCAGGTGCTCAATGATACGCCCCGCCAGGATTCTTTCAAAGAACTTCCCGGCGTCATCGAGCACCACTATGGGCCTGTAGCCGGAGGGGGAGTCCGCGGAGCGACCGTCCTTCCTAAGTAGGACCAGCCGCCCCTCCTTCCACCTCCTCGGGAAGCGGCCCGTGGCGATGCACAAATTAAGCACCGCCCGGAACCGCTCCTTTAACGGCCCAATGGCCAGGGCCAGGACTTTCGGGGGGACTCCGTCTGGCCCTGGCGCCGTCCTCTTCGCCCTTATCCTGTCCCTCACCGCCTCGAATTCAGCGTCCGAGACGGAAGGGGGGGGCAGGGTCGGCACCTCCGACAGGCCATCGGGGGGCAGCATACGGGGGGGCTCGAACGGGCCCTGGTCGGGGAAGAGAGCCCCCAGGACCCGGGTCAGCAGACCCTCGTCCATTGCCGAGGTGGAGGGGGTGGCACCCGAAAATTTGCCCCTTACCACCTTATACGGCCGCCCCCAGGGGTCCTGGTCGAGGAGAGCTATAAAGCTCTCCCAGGACTCCCTTTTGGCTGTGATGATGGCCACCCTGAGGGCCTTTTTCGCCTCTTTGTACACCCAACGGAATTCAGCTTCATCGTCGGGTGTACTGGTGGCGCGCCTACGACATCTGAGGTAGGCACGCCGGGCCCACAGGCTGGTGGAGCGCAGGTCGGCAATTTCCTGCGTCTACCAGTACACCTGCCCTGATATACGGCTGGCTAAGGAGGGGGTGGCGAAGGTGACGTCGACCCGCGACGTACCGTTCCACCGGATACAGGTGGGGGCCGAGCCCACATTGAGGATCTGGAGCCTCAGGGACAGAACCCAAGACTCCAGATC